ATGCCCATAAATCTTTAGGGCGCCGGAGTAAATATCAGCGATTCGCGACTTCACGATTAATTTCCGGTCCCTCGGTTGCCAGGCTTGAATCCCTGCCCAGTCAACTCCTTTGTTCTGGCATGTTACCAGCCATTGTGTCGTGCGTAGCTAACACAAAGCGGTCATTCGCCGGATATTCCAGATACGCACCACTCTAGGGTTAGTATCAAGTTGCATAAATAAACTGACAACACCTGTTGGGGTCTGTGGACACCTGTTCAGCCCAACGCGATAGCCAGATGATCATACCATGGAAGGGATCAAAGTCCGCGTCTCTCAGACATCGGCTTTGCGCGTCGTCGCCGTCATTCGAAGGTCGCCACACTGTGGCTTTCCGGCGTCTACACCGCTGATTCGTTCGCGGAAGGAGGGTGAATATGTGCTTTTGTTTCGGTTGGACGGCAGCGTTGTGTGTGTGTGTGTGTGGAGGTCCTGCTTAGTATGGGAGTTGAATCATCCTCTAAATCTTCCCTTTACGGTGTGTGGCGGTCGTAACAAATGGGCTCTATCCTCCATCAGAGCAAATTTAAACCCTCCAATTAGGCATTAACAGCTGTGTGGAATTTTTTTGCTGGTAGGACGCAATTTGTGCACCTGATTGCAACGGGTATGTGGTCTTGAATCCCACCGGGGCCCCTGAGTTGAACTGGTCCGTTTACATCACTCAGGTACTCGAGAAGACAAGCAGGAGACCAGAGAAACGGCCGTTTACTAGACGTTTCTGTCTAAATGGGGCTGTCAAGTCATGCAGTCTGGTTGAATCTGTGGTGAATAATGTGACGACCAGTTTGATGGGCGTGATCTTGGGATAGTTCTTTCAAAGAGAGACTCGTTGCCTCTAACTGCATTGACAGTTGGCGATTTCGTGAATAAGTGCTGGTGGTGACATGTTTACCAATACCACCTGGCAGTGTGTCTTGGTCAAGTCAACAAACACCGCGGTTGTTTGGGTGGCATGTGGGGTAAATACGAGCCTTTTTTTTCACTAGAAGCGCGCCACCAGTTAGCCGCAGCATCAGCCTGCGTTGGTTGCATGATTCACGTAGAAGCGGGACCAGAATTAACCCCCCTAGAAGTGATGGAGGGGTGAAAGAGGAAGTCGAGACTTCCACGGTGTGCTGACTCACTGGACGGTGTTGTCGAAGTTCATGATTGCCCAGCTCACTGACCCACAAGCGTGCTTGGTGCGCCCACCACAATATTGTGGACCATTGGGTAGGGGGTTCAAGTGGGCGATTGACGCCGTCGAACTTTGTAATTCCCCACCTTCGTGTTTCATTGGACCGGGTCTATTAGCGACTCAGGCTTTCAGAGAAGATTGTTAAAATAAGAAATTGTCCTCCCGTACGCCTCAGAGTGTACAAATATCAAGATTTTAAACCGATATCTGTAATTTTACCAAGCACCAGAGTAGACGTTTGCAGTTTCCTAAGTGCTAATACCTCCCTTTTACATCACTTAAACCAGACTGTCTGCAAGCTTAGATGAAAAGCTCGAAATGGTGGCAGGATATCTTGCTAAGACAACCACTCCCACTGTAAACCAGGTGTGATCCCAACTGCTTCCCGTCATTTTCGTTGTCAATTAGGGAAAGATCTCGTTGTTGTAGACGATGGATATCTTTTGGAACATGAACAGTGCAACGTCTGCCTTTTCCTCCTTCACCACCCCCCTCCCCCTCGTTACTCCACTCAACTGAGCTCCTGTCATTTGTAATTTGCCATCCATTTTTTCGCAGAAATGTAGTTTAGGCAATAATTTTGATTCTGGCGTAATAAGGTTCTTAAAAAAACCTGTCTCAGCCTCGGGCGCAGTGGTCACAAATTGAATTTGGACTGAAAATTTTCTCCGATTTCGACTTGCTTGAGTGAGAAAAGTAAGCGTGGAGTGTGCAGGCTTCATTTTTCATACGGGACTACCAAAATCTTGAAATTGGAGTCGATTTCAGAGTTGTGGAATAAATTCAGTGAAAATGCAATAATTTCTTTCTGAACCGGCGATGGTCAACATCAACTTCACCTGTCTACTTTCGTGTCTAGAACTAGAATAAAGACACTGTGAACAGCCGTGTTAATGAACTTTGGTGACATCTGTAGGGGTCCGAGTGGACTTAGTCCTCACTCATATTCACAACTAGTATTGCACTTGTTGGTCTTCTACTGATTCACTTCACGTCTGGACGCTATTTGTGAAATTTAATTCTAAAAATGAGCTTCTCTAACTGTGTGTGTGTGTGACCTTAGATCCAAGCAACTGCGTATTTGACACCATCTTCGTTGTTACGAGGTAAAACAATTAGCCAACAGACTGCTACTTGATGTACTGCGGCGAATAAATTGAGGCGAACTCATGACAGACGTCACTTGGTTTAAAGAGGATGTTCACACGACATGAATGTGGTGTGTACGCATAGGCCCTCGCACCAACTCAAAAATGGTCTATTCAAACAACTTGGCCCTTTCTCACGCTAGTTTTGAAAAAAATGGCAAATTTCAACTGGCGATTGATTAACCTGTCAAAACTCATTGTTTCTGCGTGCAGTAGCCAAATGTGTGTCTTTCCAAACAGTAGAAAAACGTGATTTGCCCGATTTGAGCCTGGAAAAACCCAGCTGATTTGGTCAGACGGCGGTTGCCCGCTGCCCGAACCGATTGGTTTGGGTTGGCGATTGAAAACGCAGCTGTTCGTGTCTTCTGACCGTCCTCTGTAACCAGACGATTTATCACAAAGGGCCTGACTTGGCTCCCCACCTCGGCCCCTTCAGACGAGCCAAGCGCAAGTCCCCTTCGAAAAACGCCCTAAATGCCAGATTTTTCCTGCGCACTTCAAGGTGCACGCACGGCGAAGGAGAGAGCGAGAGAGTTTATGGCTATCGGGTCAGCGGACAGGAGTTTCCGTAAGATAAACACAGCTATTTTCGGCCCATCGGCGTATTAGCCAGCTAGCGCGACATAGCGCCATTGGGGACAAGTCATGCCTCCTAAGGCCATTTCAACCGACCACGCCAAAATCGAAGTCCTTTGTGATAAAATCGCAAGATCTCTGTTCGTGCTCCAACGTGTGTCGCTTATCGATAGCGTGCGGCTTCCTAATTGCAACGTCGACTAGTCTCTTGTCGAATTCTCCGAAAGCGTAGATGAGTTGGCCTTTCCGATTCCTCCAGACCTCGATATACGAAAAAAGTGGGACGAAGCCGAGTCAAAAACTTGTTTGGACGCCTGCAGTTAGGGATCGCCAATACGCGTTTCTGATTGGCCGGCGAACCGTTAAACACCGCCCAGTTGGGAACTCCCTCGCCTGTCCGCGGATTTCACACTTTGTCCAACTTGCAATAGTGTCGGTGTTTTGTCTACGTCAACTTCGTGTCCATGCCCGCAATCGAGTGCAAACAGCTGATTATCGTCGAGCCGCATCCAACCTGACGAGTGTTCACACGCACGCACACTTGCTCGGAGTGGCCGCTTTCAAGGACAGAGAGAAAGAGTGCGCGCGCGAGAGTTGAATGTGGGCGCGTGTGTGTCGGCAGGTGGCGAAAAATGGCACGTGTGTGTTGGATAACGTCTCACAAATCGCGCAGCTGCGGTCGTCACACAAAGCATGACTAATTAGGTGGTGGGCGTGTGGGGGAAGGGGTGGGGAGGGGAGGGGGCGTTTTGGTAGCCACTTGTTCCACAATTCCGTCGGTGCGTGGGAAACCTGCGGTGTTGTAGGTTGTGCCGAAACTTTCCAACCTCCAGTCAGTACTTCAGCGCTCCGCCGGGGAGGCATCAAAGCATTTAACAAGAATTCGATACACACACACACACACACCGGCGTTTTACCAACTTCCGTGCGTGCGAACAGCGCTTACTGCCTTCATTCCATTTACGCCAACAGCCAAAAACAGTCCACAATTTGCAGTAGGTTTTCGTGTGAAATTAAGGGAGTTGAGTACACCCCGTTAAATGACTAAAAGTCGCTGTCGAGTGCACTTTCTTTTGGATAAGAACGACAAAAATGCGTGTGTGAGGGTTGAATTTGAACTGACGCCGAAACCACGCTTGTGGGTAATTTGAGATTGTGCGTTGTGGTTAAATTGCGCATTGAATTACACCACCGGTGTGCCGTTTTTTTCACGACCTCCGTGGCCAAACGCGCTAGTATGAATTCAACTAGGAGTGAGGTGCATACACGCGAAATCCTAGCACATTTAAGAAGTCGTCGTTTTTTTTTCAATTCAAAGTCCAGTTATTTGACCCTGTGCTATGGAATTCATCGTCAAATCCCCAGCTGGTATTTCTTGCTACGAATTACTGCTCACGGGGCGAAGGAAAGTCAACGGAAGGACTCGTTTTCCGGTCTAGCATAACAAGATCATACTACCCGTTGCCATGGCAATTAGGCCAATGGTTTCGCTGTCTATCAAAATGTTGGCAGAGGTGTGACCTCATCTATCATACCTCAAATCTTGATGACGTTGAAATCGATTTTTAGGCTGTAATTAAGTCTTTTTCCACGCTGGAAGAGTTTCGATAAGTGTGGTTTCTTTTATTCGCGGTGCTGCCATGCCGCCTCCCCAGTCTGACGTGATTGAAGGCTCCGCGTTTGTCGAATTAGTAAAAGCGGAATGATTTGTGGACTCGAATCTGTGCCGGGCATTTTAAAAGCGAAAATGCAGACGTGTTTTGTGAGGGCGGAAACACTGATAAAGGGTGGTCGCCATCATTTGAATTGTAAATTAGGACCACCTACCTGTTATTTTGCACGGTGTATTCAAAGAAGCTGTTGAATAGGGCTTAATTTGCATGCCAAACATGTCGGTTTAACTTCACCCAAACGCAGTTCTTTGTTCACCGCGAGGGCAGGCAAATTGCCAGGACCACAAAATGCCAAATTAGCATTTTTTTCCGCTATCCCACACACACACACACATATGTTATTGTCTTTATTTTAGCTCTGGACATGAAAGTAGACAGCTGAAGATGATGCTGACCATCGTCGGATTCGTGTTCCTCCTCACCCCGGTCTCATTTGCTGCGATCTCGGGCTCCGGCAGGAGCACCATACCACAGATTTTGCTTCCACCTGAAGACACCTTTCCCGTCAATGGAAATCTGGAGTTTTCCTGCAAAGGAACAGGGTTCCCTGACCCCCAGATCACGTGGTATGATGCGAACACGCGAAGACCCCTCAAAGAATCGACAGCAAATGTCCACATGAAGCAATACCTTGATCGCTTGACGATCCTCCAGCCCGAACCCAAGCAGGTGTATGCTGTCTATTGCAATATTTCAAACGCAGCCGGATGGACTGCAAGCGACGTGGTTCGCGGTGGTCTGGCATACCTAGAATATGATTTTCCGCGTTTTCCCATTGATACCTCGGCTGTGGAGGGAGACTTGGTTCTGCTGGAGTGCCACCCCCCTCTAGGAAACCCACCTCCAACCACGGAATGGCTCTTTAATGGAGTGGAACTTCCACGTGAACTCGGTCAAGTCAGTCCAGAGGGTGATCTACATATTCAGAAGGTGAAACTGCGCAACTCTGGGACTTATGCATGCCGCGCACGAAATCCATCCGGCGTGAGGACATCACCGTCTGCAGTTGTCACAGTAAAGCGCAAAGCTCCTCGATTCATCCAGAAGCCCAAAGACGTCCATGCGTCAGTCGGGTCCACGGTGCAATTCTTCTGCCGAACGGCAGATTCCGGGCCGGTTACTTGGAGAAAGGATACCGCGGAGACAGCAGTTGATCCCTCAAGGGTCCAAATCTCCTCGAACTCCATCATCATTCACAATGTTCAGCTGTCAGACGCCGGCCGGTACATCTGTGTGGCGGAGGACGGTGAATCCACGGCCGACGCGCGTCTCACCGTCTCCAATGCACAAAAGCCCACTTTTTCCCGGACCCCTGTCGATCGAAATGCAACCGAAGGCGAGACCGTAGTGTTCCACTGTCAAGCCTCGGGTTCACACGAAATTTCAACTTATTGGGACCTACCAAGTCAAACCACCGTCTTTCCAAACGACCAAGTGGGAAATGTCTTCGTTAACGAACACGGCGACCTCCAAATCCGAAATGTCAGTCTCAGTGATAGCGGTGTCTACCAGTGCATTGCTAACTCGAACTTTGGTCTGATTTCCGCACAGGCTGAGCTCCGTGTTCTCCCACGTGCGACCAAAGATGTGATTCCTCTGCCCCCAATAATCAACCTCCCACCAGCCAATCAAACGCGTGTTACCGGCGACACAGTTATTCTCGATTGTGAAGTGGGCATAACTCGTGAACCAGAAACGGGCCACGATCTCACAGTGCGGGGCTTCGATGGAACACAATCGCGTGTATTTTGGGTAAGGGGAACCAGATCTGCCGGAGGTCTCCAAGAGCGCATCGACCTTGTGAGTCGAGATCGCGATCCGAGGTTCTCATTGCTCCCCGGTGGTGGACTTCAAATTGTCGGCGCGATGGTTGAAGACACGGGCAATTATACGTGCTTCGTGCAGACTGGACGTGGCCACTTCATGCAGTCGAATTGGACGGCATACCTCGTTGTTCTGCCCTCCGGCACGCATCCTTCCTTGAGCACAGAGCCAACTGACCCCCTATCTCCTCCTGAAGACCTTCGTGTGCAGAACCAGACGGCGAAGTCCCTGACACTGATCTGGAACCCTCCTGACTCGCACGACTCCAGCCAGGTGTCTTACTGGATTGAGATGTTCCACTCGACTGAGCCTGAATTAGGCTGGCAAGTTCTTCAGGAGTCCTGGCATCGAAATGCCATTCGACTGGAACCACTTGAGCCCAATTCGGCTTATTACTTCCTTATCCGGCCACGGTGGATCGACGGTCGAATAGGCTGGGCCAGTGCTCCTCTCGGTCCCATTGAAATGCAACATCGCCCGCAGTCAGCAACTGGACCTGGTCTTGTCAAAGTTCTTGGAACGCGAGTACAAGTGGTTTCACCCACGTCGGTTCGTGTTACGTGGAATCTTGAGAATCCAAGAAAGGCAGCTGCCGTGATAAATGGTTTTTCTGTTCGCTACAAAGAGGTACCCATGACAAGATGTATTTCTACAAGCCTCCACGATTCCAACTTTTGTAGTCTTCGTCCTGGAGAGCCATTGCCGCAATTACTTCAGAATTACCAGCAACAGTTGAACGCAGCCTCGTTGAGGGACACTCAGGGCGTTTCTCTTGTTCCCCACGAAGAACCGGAGATCTTCGTCGACGTTCCAGTTCACCGAAATCAGGGGTCAGCGTCTCCGTGGACAACAGAGTTGACTAATCTGAAACCCTTTCGTTGTTACCACCTCCTTGTGCAGCCCTATTCCACGTACTCCAGACAAAGTGCGGATGGAGCTGTGGTCTTCCTCACTCAGGAGGAGGCACCGTCGACGCCTCCGCAGATTGTGGGAGTCAAGCGGAAGACGAACCACAGCGTTGAGGTGTCGTGGACGGCGCCTCCAGCCCACTCCTGGAATGGCCTTCTCACGGGCTTCATTGTGTACGCCTTCAATGCGGCAGAGAACGACAAACGCGAGCTCAAATTCGGCCATCACGACACAAAAGGCGTGGTGGGTGGCCTGAAAAGCGGTGAGATCTACCACATCCAGATGGCAGCAGTCAACTGCCGAGGCAGCAGTTCGAAGGGTATCCCCGTCAACTTCTCTGTCTCGGATGGTGGGGTTATTCACGATTCTGCCCAACCCAGTGACGGGGGTACCTTAATTCAGTTTCAGCCGTGGGTGGTTGGGTGTATTGCGGGCGTGTTGATTATTTGGCTGGTCGCCGTGTTCATCGCAGTGCTCTTTTGTGTGCGCCAGAGAAATCAACCAAAGCATCGATATCCACCGAATAGCGGAGGAGGGTCCTTCAACGAGAATGGGGGAAGAAAGTGCAGCACGGCCGGAGCGTCAAAAGAGGCCTACCAACTGGGACCGTTAATCAAACCCAATTCCATGTCTGGAGGAGTCAGCGAGTTGGACTGCCCTCGAGGTAGCGACTCGATGCTAAAAGCCCCCACAACGTCTACACAGCATAACACTACGACGACCATTGCTAGTTCAAACAGCTCCTCAACTGGAGGAAGTTGTAACCCAAACTGTGGCCACATCCAGCATCCCTTTGAAGAGGGGGTTCCAGGGCACTCTTCCGACTTTTCGAACTCTCCTTTTTTTGGACACATGCCTGCCCAACACATGGAGTACCCCTTCGTTGATTATCGACCCGTTGATGGGCCCAACAACAATGTTTTTTCAACCTCAGTCATTGAAAGTAACCCCACCGCAACCGGACTACCGCTGGTCGCGCCAGTAGCCCAACTTGCCCGTCCCTGCGGTAATGGATCAGGCGCGGAGCATGTGAGTTCGAGCGTCACGCCCTACGCGACGGCCTCGCTGATCAACGCGGAACTGCTGCAGAAGGCTTCGGGAGTGTCACCTGGAAGCCGAACTCCTTCTGATATGTCCTCGAACGCTGGGGGGTCGCATTTGTCCGCTCGGGGGATGAACAGCCCGCAGCGGTTTCCTTCACGACCCCAGCAGTACCTTTCACGCTCCAGTTCTGGCACAACGACTGGGGCCGAGGAAGACTACCTTGCCCAGCACAACCACCAGCAGCAGCAACAACAACAACAGTCAAGGAGGCTGGTTCAGACCTCAAATCTTGCCCCCCTCACTCCCCAGATTCCACCCACTTTCGCCGAGTACGAGTTGTGTTTGCCTGCAGTTCCACAGCACGCTTCAGCTCTCCACAACCAGCACCACCAGTTCCCACTTCAAGCTCCCACCAATGGCGGTATTCACACGCCGGCTTTCTGAAGACCCTCATCTACTTGAACCATTTATGTTGTACCAATTACCCTCCTTCGACTATTTTAATTGGCTCACTGTGTATCGTGTACATAAAAAGTATGTACGTAAATCAATACATCTATATCTTCGAAGCGAGCTAGTGCGTCAGTGTAAACGATGAATACGAGGTCGTGGACTGTTTTGGCTGTTATGTCATGCTAAAAGTGAGATTAAGACAGAAATGGGGTTTGAGCATAAAGAGAATCAGCGCTCTCCAAAAGAACGTTTTTTTTCATTCTAAGCAGTTAAACTGGGTGGAAAAGACTACTGGTTGGTTAGTTGGCTGTGAGGCAGTATAGCGTCTTATGAAGAACGTGGTTGCGTCGTTGGACTAATGTTAATCTACCTCATGCAGTCGCTGCAGAACGCTTGAATACAATTCAGATCGATTTAAACAAGGGAAGCTCACCATGATTCAGCCATTTCAAGGTCAAGCCTTGATAAGTATAGATTGCGTTACCCAATCAGATTCGTGGGAACGCGGGCACACACTGTGAAGGCTTAAGGTGGTGAATGCAATTTGTTGGCATTTTTAGCATACTTTTTCTCAAAAGGTGGAAATTAGGTGTCAGAGGATGATGCAGCATCAGTTTTTCTGCGCATTCAGGTACTAGATTGGACGAGCTACTCGACTTAGCCATTAGCGACTCCTTAATGGAAGGTATGCGGTCGTTACTAAGGTCGAAATGAGGTGAGAGCTCAGCCAGCTTATCTATTTTTCCATCAATGACTCACACGCCCTCTGACACCTTCACGGTGGTTGTCGTCTGAATTCGTGTTCCCGGAGGAGCAAGGTTTTCTCGGATCTGAAACACAACGTGGTCGTGATGAGAAAATTATAAATTTTACATCAGTCGACCTCTGGATCCTTCTGGAACCCTCCTCGAATTCCCATTGGCCCAGATTTGGGCTGTCAGAGTCTTCGACTTATACTTATCAGAATAATTGTCTCTCCGCATGCCCCTGTACCGGTCTTTCAAAGGTACACAGTACACGCCACGGTCGTGTTCCTTGAACGTGTTATTCACATGCACACACACAACCCACGATCATCTGAAGAAAACATCAAATGCAGCCAGCGGTGAGAAAGTGCTTCTTTATTCCCCCCCCCACACTGTTCAAGCCCCCAACATAACGAGGCAATTAAGATTATTGGTTAACAGTGATTAGTTCATAAATATGTGTAAAAAGCATGTTTAATTGCTAGCCACTTCTACTGCCTCTCGATCTTAATGACAATTAGATTGATCCTCATTGTTGAAATTAGCGTTTGTCATCAAAATATTTGTTCATCTGAAGCGACCGTTAATTGCTGTCAAGGCCATTTCAAAAGCTATGGCGATTTGAAACTTCGTTGATAATGCTTTTTCGGCACAGAATGTAAGTTTACGTGAAGTGACACTTTCATTTGTGGCCTTCAAACCATCGTGTTTTAACTTCTCCAATTTAAACAGCTTTTTGTTTTACTGCAGCACGAAACAGCGCGCGCATTCGACTGAACTGCGTTCCCGTAAATATCGATTTTCCTTACGACTTATTGGGGGAATCCAGAAAACTTGCAAGGTGGAATTTTTGAGTCAGCATTACTTCAAACATAGCTTCTAAGACAAAGTGAAAGGACTTATCTTAAAAATCTGTTGTACCAGCTGCAACGCAGTTACGAAGCTGATCACAACCGTTTTTAGTGTCTTTCTTTGAAGTTTCCTAATAAGTTGATTAGTTTTTGACTCTCAAAGGCGAAATGTTCAAGGAAACTCAAAAAAACGAGGGAACATTACGCTCAGGATCGTCATTCTTCGGTTTTTGGCCAATAAAATTTTGAAAAAATTCCTCTAGTAACAGGACGAATGTTCAGATCTGTGGTTTGGTCGAAATTAATAGTTAAATGCGTTGTGGAGTCAGCCAGCTAATGGTGTTTAGCCACCTCGTAAATCTAAAGCATCAGCTGACGGATTTTCATTAACGGGATCTTATTTTTGGGGATTTCCTACAAAGAAACCTGTTCTAATTTAGTCACGTAGGGTTAAATGTAAATAATTTTCAAGCCAGATGCAAACCATGGAAACAAAAAAAGGTGCAAGGCAATTTTCCCAAAGTTTACATTTGCCACGGTCAGATGTATGATCGAGTCGGGGTGAAAAATTATCCGTTCTGTTTGTATGGCAAATGTCACGGAACACAGCGTCTTTTTCTCCCCAAGTAACAAAGTCAGTTATTGTGGGAGGCTGTGAGGGCCTAGTTAGGGGCCTGCGCCACAGATGATGATGATCCGTGGCATGAAAAACATAAAGTGTTTGGCAGCAGCAGCTGTTCGGTGGTTTTGCAGGGAAACGGTCACCTCTGGAAGTTAATCCTCGTAAGGCTTGAGGTCACTTGCATTGGCTGACATCTCGTGACAAGTGGCGCCGGGTCAGGTCACGGCAAATCTCGGATCAGACTTGCAGGTTGAAAATTGGGGAATGCCAAAACATTGGGTGCATTCGAACCCCCCAACTTCCAGCCTTCGATTTGCGAAAAAAAATCGATAGGAATTCAAACCTTACGCTTCAGAATGTCAAGATTTCCGCGCCTGTTTGACGCCGTCGTCTGCGGTGGCACATCAAAGGACTGGCGTACGACTGCACTTTTAATTTACCACCGACCGAATGAAGATGGCTCTAATGGTTTTGAAATAAAGCGTTTTTAGACTAATTATCCCCGTGTGAAGATTCATGTGCCAGTGAGCTTTGTCGAAAATGACCACGTTTTGTGTGGAAATGGTTTACGATGCGCAGAGAGCGAGAGATAGAGAGCAAAAAATTGCTTGCTGTCTTCCACACGATGATAATTTATTCAACAACGCATTCTGAAAACGCTGGCTGCTAGACTTTGCAGGTGTGCAAATTTGCACATTGCCGCTTCCGCCACTGTGGACTCGAATTTGCTGTGATATGTGGTCCCTTGAGAGTGGAATCGAAAAAATGTCCACTTAAAAGGTGTTCTTTGAAAACGTTCGATTAGCCGGAATGAGTTTATGTCTAGCCCTGTTGCCACTAAACCCATTTAAACCAGGATCTAACTCTGTTGTATTGACGGGTCTACAACGTTGCGCGTACTTTTAAGTCGCAGACTTGCTGTGAATCGTGTTTATTCACACCCCTTAATACGGTCGCTCCACCTCCGACACAGGCCTCCCATTTTCGCAGCATGTCGCCTGCCGCGCGGATCCTCAACTCTCCCCTCGTTCACACGGATATTTATCTTGGATTATCCTCACACCTAGGTCTCGATGTTAGCGCATGTATGACTCACGCATCCGAGGTATAGGTACACACGCGCAAACCCCACACACGGAAGTAAACGGTTGTGTCCACGTCCTCTCCGATCGTTTTCTTCATCGCGAGTATCAAGGAAACGTAATCGGGCTAATTCCATGGCCCCGGCTTGGTTCAAGACCACATGCTGGGAACCACAGCAGACTGTTCACAAAGGGACGAGCTCACGGAATAACTGGGAATGCTTGAACAGGGGTAAATGAATGGGTTGTCGGACGTGACCCCTAAATACATAACTACCTCCTCGTACCATCTATTATCCCAGAATGGTCACATACCTATTAGCCTCTCGATGACTTCGTTTGATCCCACATCATTATGCGGCCATTATCTGCGAATCTGCAACTCATTTGAGGGCAGACGTCATGTGGAATTTCAAAAAATCACTGTTTTCATTTGAAATCTGCGTTCTTGGTCAACGCCTTCTTTTCCATCGTTGATTGGCGATGGATAAGGCCGACAAAGGCTTTCTCCTGTCCTCTAGCTATTTTTAGGTCCTCTTTCTGTGGCCTGGTCTGTAATTTCGGACGGCAGTTTCTGCATGATACATGAGGAAAAATTTACAAAAATACTGCATGTTTGTCATGGAGACAAAGTAGCTTCCCACGTTGTGCTGCAGAGTTAATATTTACCGCGGTAACAGCGGGGCACTTAAACGATTCTATTGGTTTAAAATGTAAACTTTTGAGTGATTTAAACAAAATTTGGTCATTGAAAATCCAGGGGCAATTGTTCCAGCTGGTCATCAATTCTCTCGCTGTGTTAAAGATGAATAGTGCTCAACAAGATTATTGGTCAGTTTTTTCGATTATCGATAATATATGGAATGTGAGATGTGCAATTCCGGAAGATTTAAACAACATAGGAAATAGCAGCATCTGTCCAAGTTAAGTAGAAACTGATGGACAGAATGATATTCCCCGTGACAATTTAAGCTAAGCCGTTCATCAGAGTGGTTAGAGGTCTCGCACAAGTACCTTAGCTATTAAAATCTGTTTGAAAAGTCAGAAAATGCGCTTCATGCCACATCATCTCCAAAACGTGCTATTTATCGTATTTACCAAGCTAACTAGATCTATCGGGATGTCGAAGAATTTGCGATCGAAAATCATCAAGTTTTTCCAAAACGGGGCACATACTATCACCACATAAACATTTTCCGTCACAAATTCAACCACGTTTACCAATTCCAGCAATCGATTCTGACGCAGTGTTGGTGATTAGTATTCAACAGGATCCCTAACTCTATTCCCATTGGCCCGTAAATTTGATTATTGATTATTTTGAAAATTTGATTGGTTAATTCACCGTGAGATAACCAATGTCTCGCAGGTGACGAAAACGGTCGAGTTTTGAATCGATCATGTCGCCTTTTCAGACGACCTTGTGAATCAGACTCGTATACGACTATGAAACCCAAAAGCACGTATGCACATATACAAAATGTGAGTAGTATGAAGCGATTTATAAAATGTTTTCAAACCACCTTTTTCCTAAGCTATTGTGTTCTGGACAAGGGTGGCCCTCGTCATCATCATGCTCACTCGTCCAAACGAACGATGATTATTAAAAAAAGAAAATAAAAGCCGGAAAATGTGGCCTTGCATTTGATTATTGGGTAGTTTTAGTTTTCGACGATCGAGAAACCCCGAGAGAGATGAGGTTCCGCTGGATAGATCCGCAGGATGGCCCTCCCTTGACGTCCACATCACACGCCCTCGTTGCGCTGTTGGGTTGTCTTCTAAACGACTCTTCCGCTCGCTTTTACACGGGTGCTTTTGCTCACAACCACTGCAACATCTTCGACGCCTCCTTCGACTTCTCCTCTATTTGAACCTTCCACTCCGTGAGCCCTTCCGTGGTTGACTGTTATTGGTGTGCTTGAGTTGCACTTTTACTCTACACGACTGTCCCTACATTTGGCTTGCCTTTTTACACCAGCCTCCCACGAAAAAAGTGTCCTCTTTACAACAACTAAACGCCCATATTTGCTTTGAGCTAGCACTCCGGCTCCACCTCTCCAAAATGCCCCCCAAACTTCCCCCGGCCTTACAATCGTCACACCGAGGGGTGTCGGACACAAGCCCGACCAATGGTCAGGCGCCTCGCTTTTGTCTGCCACGATAAAAGGGCGGCTTTGAAAGGCATCACAGCACACCTCCCGCACACTCGCGATGAGGTCTTCGAGGCGAAATGGCGGAGATATGTATCGCGAAGCGATGACTAAGCTGCCGGTCGACGTGCATTTTATCAAAGGGAATACCTTGGAAACCCCATTACGCCCGAATCACCTGACCTTGCTATATCGATCATCATTTGGGCAGTCAATTAAGCGCACCAGTAAATGCAGCATCTCGGCATAATCAATCGTGTACCGCATTTTCAATTGGGTGGTTCCGTGTATTACTTACTACAAAATAAGTACCGACAAACTGTCGACCATTGACTTTTCGTGTAAATATCGACCCCGTGCTTAAACAGTTTTCATTTTGGTTCCGGTCAACCAATCAGGATAAAGCAGACATAGGGGTTAGACTAAATCTCCTGATCCCCAGAATACTCACTCATTCAACGGAGTGACCTTGAGGTGCATTGGTCAAGGTCAAGCGAAATTATGGACTTTGCTAAAACAAACTCTACAGGGTGTGCAGTAAGAAGATTGTGATCTGTGATTTTTGCGTCTCATTCACAAAGTTATAATCAAATTGAATTTTGAACAGATTTGGCTGACAGGGTTTCCGAGAAAATCGATAATAATATGTTTCCTTGGTCAATCAAGTGAGAGCACCCGCTTTCTGGTCAGTGACTAACTACATGACATTAAACCACACTGCAAGTTATTAACGTCGATTCATTACTCACAATACTTAATGCCACACTAATCACCGTGATCAATTTAGCAATCGATTTAATGCCTAATTCTACCAGTTTGAGAGGAACAACCCAGATGCATAGTTTTTATGTTCAAATTTTACAGTTTTCACCACTTTTCCCATCAACGATGACTTCAGAGATTCGTCAATTCGGTTAAATCCTCAGGTCTCTCGCAATTTCCATCTGGCTACACCAAAATTTGGAATGCTACTCGACTCATTTTATACCTGATCAGAGGTGTTCGGTTTAAAAGGAATACGAGGGACAGTAGAATGCCTCCGGCTTCCATATCTGAGTCACCTCTACACGAAGAACATGGTCTGGTGTTCAAGGCAGGGATGCATCACACACAATTCCAATTGGGGTGAATTATGCCAATTCAGGAGCTGCTTGAGACGACGTTTACCTTGGCATTGGGTGAGAGGCACATTAAGGTAAACGCATTCGCTGTTGACGCCTCTAAAATAACAGGAATATCACAAGTTGGGAGCCACTTGACGAATTGCCAACGCCTTCAGAGATTTGCCAGGTGATGATATTAGGACGTAAGCATTGAAGGTAGGTGTTTTAAGTTGGCGTTACGCACCAATGGTGTGAATGACTTCAACTAATGAACTGGGTGAAGGTTGTTAGAATAGTGACGTGGATGGGCTCAAACACCGTCTGAAAACCCAGCTACTCAATACACAACCCATTCACTACATCAGCGGTGATGGATGGCATGGAACAAGGCAAATATTTCTTATAACAGTCAGTACAACGAGATGCCACGTATGGCGCAAAACGTGCAGCGGATGATGCAGGGATTGACAACGAAACATGCGCCTTGTTCTGCTCCAAACCGTACTTTGTTCGAATGCCGTTTCGTCAAACGATTCCTAATCGGCATTCCAGGTGAACTCAGTCCGGTAACTGGCAACAACACGAGGAGTTGTTAGCGTCTTCTCAACAGTCACCTTCTTAGTCCATTGTTTGGTGATGTAGAAGATTTGGTTGATGATGCATCAACTCATCGCACATCTATTGATTGCGTGTGTTCAAATTTTCCGTACATGAGAATTGGCAGATTGATCCCATCATCAACGGTGTTCAAGCAGCAACACGAATGACTGTGGCATGAGAGATCAACCGCGAACAAACTGGTTCAAAAGAACACATTCACAATTAAACAGGCAAGTAGATGTGACCAATGGAGTCACGTGGGGACGATGGATATTGGAGGTGTTTGGAACTGCACGCAACGATTTGAGAATAACGTGGAGAGGCGGTGTGATAATTCCACTGAGGAATCGAATGACACGAACTCAATTGTGCGTTATCCAGGAGGCGACTATGTGGTTTCCTGGCTTCAAGCGTTGGCACCAGGACACGTCAGGTCCTACACTTGTGCAAGAAGGTTGTCGCCTATTGACGTGTACGGGCCAAACTTTCGTGGCGTTGAAGATGCTGACTACGCGCCGAGAATTTCCGGCACGACTCTCCTGGAGGTCTCACAGACACTCCATTTTGCTACAGAGGCGGACAATTGCACGTCATTGCATATCCGCATGATATCCAGGAATATTTGCATCAATTTGTTAGATAATGTGTTGCACGATTGGGTTGAGGGGTGAATTTCGACTCATGTTCGTTAATCTGGTTGCTGCAGTCTCCGACACACTGTCCTCCCCTCAGTTCACTCATGGAGGACCATCTGCTCTCACGCACCTCACTGCATGTACCTCCCTCCCAATATTTGTTGAACCCTTCTAACTATTCTGTTTGTGTTCGTTGACTAGTTTATCCACACTGCTGATCAACAACTACATTCGGCATGTACCACTGTGATCGCGTACAGCGTAATTAGGTTGATTTGTCTAGTAAACGCTTGTGCCTCTGCCATCTCTGGTTCAAAAGGAAAACCAAGTCGATAAGCATGTCAACATTTTGAACCCCGTTCCGCTTGATTTCCTACATTCTAGCTAGCTGACTTTTCAGTAAAGTTGATTTTTTGTAATTGAACCAGAAGCCTTCAATAATGCAATTTTCATGGAATGTGGTGACTGTGAAGGTGCCCAGAAATACGCATCGCTGCCACTGCATTTAAGCGTTAAACGAAAGTCATTGGTTGAACTTTGAAAACAATTGAATTAGGATGCTGAAGATGGCTTTATCTGAAAGAATCCTGCAGACGTTAGCAAAGTATCCCACAAGAAGACTAGCTTGGGATGGAATTCATGAATAACCATTTGGTTTAATTTTCTAAACCAAGTCGAATTCGCGGATATTAATGAAAGGCTGAAGCATTCGAAACCAGGCAAGTTAGCAGTCGTTCTCGAGACCAACTCACTCAAATAGCCAGTTTGTAGAGCAAAGTCAGATGTTTCTTAAAAGTGTCGGTTAACGCAATCAACTCTCGTCCCCCATTTTGCTAGGCCCTTTGTAGATACACGAAGTGGCGCTCTTTCACGTCTTTTCTCATCAACGACGGACCTACGGGTTCGTTTACGCGGTGGTTCTTCTGGACTGCTAGTGTTTTTGACATTTCGTGTCAGCAAAATTAAAAACGGGTCCAATTCAATCAACAATGCAATCGGTGACATGATTGGCAAGTTTTCCCCCACTGCTTCACCCAGTTGTTGAAGCCAACTCGTTAAAAATCTATTGATCTGGTCTCGAAGCAGTCATTAGTTCGCATGTAGACATGTACGTCGTTGCAGAATGTTGTGCTCCGCAGACGGTTTGAAGGTGAGCGAGAGGCCAGTAATCTAAAGGAACGAGGCCAGGAATACAAAGCGGATGTGTCATAACCTAACAGTCGTGTTGTAGAATCTTGATGGCGTCTTCAAGCCGCACCATCACTAGTCCACGACTGGCATGTCACTTCGATTGGAAGGCTTCGTGCAAAAGGCTTGGTGGGGACCAATGCAGGCGCTGATTGACTAACAAGCTCCGTGCAAGTATTCCATAATGTCCGAGGCATTCACGATCTCCTTGATGCTCGTGAAGGCGAAGACTCTGCATGATTTGCTGCACTGCTTGCATTTCACGTCGTGGCGTCACTTCTTTTAGCTTCGGTGCCAAGGTGACACAAAATCCTCTATTTGGGTACATGAGTGTACTCCTCAGTCGCTCAATCGTTTCTCCATCATCGCATGCGTTGCCCACGCTACCATCAACTGAACCCGTTCATTGACCACTGGTGGCGACTGATGATGTCCTGGTAGCCATTTTATCTGCTGAGCAAATTTCTTTGGTTTGGTTTGGATCAGATCAACCTTCAGAACACAATGAACATTCCTCGGCAGAACCGGAGTAGGGGATGCGTCAAGATGTCGAGATTTGCGTTTTTAAATTCAAATCTCCACTACTGGCCCATGCACAACGCGGTGACACGTGTACTGTTGACAGGACAAATTAGCTTAGCTATAACTAAGAAGCAAATTGAACTCTCGACAGAAACGTGTGCTGCTTTCTTTGAGTATGCGAAAGTCGATGCATCAAATGCAAGCGAATTTGAGCAAAACCGACGGACTTTGGCCTGGGACGAACGTGGCTGCCAAGATCCCCACCACAAACGGATTTCTGGTGGCATTTTGCTGCTCTCAAACAATTTCCATTTACCTACCCGCGTGTTCCATTGCATTTGCACATCAAAGGCGTGATTAAGACCCCCTCCGTGCGGTTGGTCTGCCCTCTGATCTCCGCCAAATGAGCAGGTGTTTAAGGGCGGTAAATTCCAACTCCCCACGGCTGCTCACCTGCCAAGTTGGTCTAGCTATTGGCACAAGGACATGGATTGCTTCCTAAAACCACGGCCGTTTTGAAGATATGCTGTCAATCTTGTGATTGTGCCAGCACCCTTGCCACACACAGGATTGTTCTCCAGATGTGGACAGAGACGGCGAGTAATTGAAACGGCTATGTGCATATTGCTTAATGCCATGCTCAAACGTCTTCCTACGACTTATGTGATTGAGATTCTGCATGACAGGATGAAAAAATGGTGCCTAAGTAGAGAAAAGGAGACAGTAGGGGGACTGGAATTCGGATCACTCGCAAACCTTGCCAAACTTCCTTCACCCCGCAGGTTCACCCTCTTGGTAGTCTGGTACTCGCGACAGCGCATCCCCGACTAATGAAAACAGGTTTTTAAAGAAGGAAGATGGACTGATTGTTACGCTACGAACGGAATTCGTCGTCATAAATACCGACAAGGCAAACAGTCGAATCAATTTTGTGCTAAATGAAGTTTTCGGCATTATCTTTGTAAAAATAAACACAGGCGTCTGTGAGGTCACATGAATAAAGCGGGTGGTGGTGGTACACGCCGAGGGTTTGATGAACCGCCCGCCTCACGTGACTGACGGGCACGCCGTGAAAAAAGGGGCGTGTGTTGGAGGCTGAGACGACTGGGTTATTGGACGTGAATCAATGGGATTCACGACATCCTGGTTCGGGTTTATAATAGTTAGCATTCAGTATCGCCTCAATGTCACAAAACGGTCCAAATTTTACACCTACACATTTCACTAAAAGACAGCCGTCACAATAGCGCTTTCGACAAGTAATTTGGGTTGAAATGCTGATCTGGCAAGTACTTGGGTCTAGGCTAAATTTGTTATGGAAATTAACAAGAATGTTTAAGAGTAACTGTGTGATACGAGATGCAGCACAGTGTGTGATACACGCGTTACCGTATTACGCGCGGCATCTGACTTATTGAGCTGTGATTGGTTGTGAAATAACCAATAAAAATTGATTCGCAAGCAATAGTGTCTTCATTGACATTTGCGTCAATTGTTTGTCAAACTACAAAATTTTCTGAGTGTGAAGTATGTGCAGTGTGTGTAAAAAAATTCCGTCTTCTACTATAGTTCGTAAAACGTTAGCTTAACCAATCACCTGAGGCTTGTTTTAACCAATCGAAAGTGCAAATTTGACCAGTAATAAAACGATCGTGTAGATTGCCTTTGCAATGCCTAGTTCCCACGGGTAAATTGACACAAACCTCTTTTCTTGCATCCCTCATTTCTGAGGTGAATGAGTGGTTTGCACTTAGTCATTCCAAAACAAGGCTACTTTTCCCAACAGAAGCAAATGCGACTGCTTCAGCGTGGACGAAAAAAAGAGTACCTGAGTTTGTGTTCAAGCATGTCCTACTTACGAGTCACAGTACCTCCGGAGGATGCGCTGTGCACAAGTAAAAATGTGGTTTTCTTTACTGCCGGCCGGCACTCTGCACTTTCGTGGTTGCTCCAGTTTGTAGGCGTATATCAAAGACGACAGACATTCTGCGTTTAACTTGAACTGCAATGACTTGGCTTTATGTGAAATCTAATATAGGAAAAAACAACGTTTTTCTATGACTCGATTCAACGACAAATAAAACCCTACGAAAATCGACATAATTCGCTACTTTTAAAGGCAGGAAGCGCAACTGCAGATAACGGAATTTATCGAGTTGAATTGGAGTGAGTTCTACTCAAGTAGTCGAACACTTGAAATCGATAATCATGCCCCCCGTTCGGAGCATCACATTGACACCTCCATCAATGGAAACAACCTCTCCGCCTACGTGCACCAGCTATTCTTCAAACTCTACTTAACTAATCAGATGTTTCCTTAGAGCCAAGGGCAAAAATGCTGCAATTGCAGAACTTATGGACGATTGATTCGACAGCATTGACCCCTGACGGTTCTCCGTCTGCTATCTGCATCGTCAGCAAACACACCGACATGGTATGGTGCTCCAACTGGTGGAGTTGAGCCATCAGTTTTGGTACTTCAGGAGGCAAACAATCGGTTTGATCAGTAAGCCAGTACTAACACGCCTTGCCCCACTTTAGAAGAAGTCCTGCTCAAGTCCACAATCGATTACTGGTTATCCTGTGATGGGACCTCCCGTGTCAAAATTGCCGACGAAACGAGATAAACGACATCCAGATTTTGGACATGGAGCACGCGGAGTTGGCATAAATTAGAGGTTGTTGTTGTTGCTGTTGATGATATTGCTGGCTGTGCTGCGGAAGGACCCTCGTTGGGGTCAGCGATTTGTGGTGCGCACGACAGGTCCCGGATATCCGTGGACGCGGAGATGGCCGGAGGTGGAGACTCATTCCTCACTCATTCCATGCACACATGCGCTGTGCTGTTTTGTGGGTCGTGTGGGCTGTGTGTTTATTTGAAGCATAACTACTTTCGGCGTACTCGCATCAGAATTGCATTAATGCGGTACAGGCACAAATCTGATTTGCTCACACCGTAATCACACCACTGATCACGAGTTTCGCCCACCGTTGCACTTCGGCATTGACTCGTTTAGCTTGAACAAGTGTAAGTTTGCTGAGTCACATCCAAACTGAGTGGATCACCCATCAGAATCTTACAGACGAGTTCCAGAATGGTCGTCTTGATAAGTTGAGCAGAGTGTGGTGGTCAGATTGTTTCTGTTGAATAGACTCGTCCTCGTTGTTGGAGTGAGGATCGACTGTGTGGTTGTGTGAGAGCATCCCACATTGGATGAGGCCTTTACCCAATTCATCGTCCTGATCACACACGTCAAGTCTCAACTTGACTGCTGGCGTTGCTTGCTTGTCCTTCTCTCCACAACCGTCCCTTTCTCAGTCCGCAAGTCACACAGAGGAACCACATCTCGTTGTCAGTGAAAATTTGATGTGGATAGCTTGATTTGTGTC